ACAAACAGCTGCTCACAATAGGGATATTATGTTATTAGGTTGCATAATTTGCTAGGAACAGAGAGAATATTGGAGAACTGTATGATCTTTGAAAACTAGTTATTTAAGAAGGACAGCTTAAAGATTTTTCTGGCACACTTATGTAAACTTAGATGGGTTCACTAGATTTTGACAATAATTCTATTTAAAAAAGGTAAAAATCTCACACATGCTTGTCTTCCATATTTTAGTTTCTTTACACACAAGAATGCTACAATAACACTACAATAAAGTTTAGAGGGTCTTTTAAATATGCCTGATAATTTTGCAGTATTTGGAGATTAATTATTTAATCTCAGTTCTGAAACTGAAGAAGTGCACGAGTATGGTTTTCAACCAGAAATAATCTTATTGTTCTATGCAGATGCCTACAAATGCCCACATCATTTGAGTAATAGTGTGTGGGGATGTGTATTTTCAGAACACTGCTCAGGCTTAACATTCAATTTTTCAGAACATTTGAACATAGCATTGTGCATTTTTTCATTTTTTATGGGTATAAATATGCTAATTTTCTTGTAGTCAACACAACTATTCAAAGACTGTGTTAGATCATGCTTGAGTCTTTACAAGATTAGAACACACATTTGTACAAAGATCTGAAAACAAATTGCAATGTACCAGAACTAAGATTAAAATATTGGCCTTAGTGAGATGTATAGTAAATTCCACATACTGTGTGTTGTCCTTGAAACTCATAGCTGTCATGTTTATTCTTCAGATGCTGGATAGAAATTTACTTCCTATCCTCAGCTTAGATTCTGAGTGGTAGTATGGACTAATACAATCTTATTCATGGAAATTCAGTCTTTTGTGAGGTCTTGTTAGAATGGAAAATTTAGGAGTATTACTGGCCTGTGTTCCTTAACTCACAATCATCTTAAATAGACCTGAAGTAAATGAAATCCTTCAGACATGTTTCAGTCATTTCTCTCATGGCATCCTTTGTATTTCAGGACCCCAAACGTCATTTAGAAGAGCATGTGGATGTGCTGATGACCTCAAACATTGTCCAGTGTTTAGCTGCTATGTTGGATACAGTTGTATTTAAATAACCGATTTACTGTTGTGATGCTTTCTGTGTATATTTGTTTATTATTTCTAATACTCACAAAACAGAGACTGTTGAGGCTATATTTGATTAAACACAGACATCTGACTTCATTTGCAATGTAAGTGCAGCACTATAACACCTTTCAGTCTCTAATTGTGCAGTTGCTTCAGTTTCTTTATGTCAGGGTCTTTACAGATTCCAAAGCATTCAAGAACACAGCGTGGGCAAAAATGTATTACATTTTCATTTAATATTTGGGGGAAAAATCAGTAGTACATATATATTTTGATTGTTGCAACATAATAAAAATACATTTACAAACCTGTCTTAAGTTCTGGAAGGCCTTTTTTGAGAAAGGACGGTGGGAATTAACGGTGGAGGAAAAGTGTTGGTAAAGGTTTATTTCTACCCACTGTAAAACTACTGAGATATTAATTTCTAGGACAGCAAAAATTCTCTAATGCAATTTGGCTCCCGTTGATTACCAGATACTCTTATTGAGATTAAAAAAAATAATAAAAATTTGTAGTCATGCTGAATTCTGAGGATGTACAAAAACCAAAATGCTGAAAATTCCCCTGCCAGCTCCCTTTCAATATTATTCAAACCCTAATATCCACAGAAGACAATTGACCTTAAGAAAATGAATTCAGTTATGCTGATAACTGAATCACACAACTCTCACAAGTGGTGTCATAAATAGCAGTATTCTGAGAATAAACATTAAAGTGATAGAGGCTGTTCTAGGTTACGCGAACCCTCCCTCCTGTGAAAGAGAACATACATGAGATGTCCATATACATAAATATATGGAAAGAGTCCCAACTGGAATATGACATTTAAAACCGTTTCCACTGACTAGAGAGGGAAACACTCACAGGAAGGCAGGTGGGTTGGCTGCTTGGTTTTAAGCAGGCAAAGCCAAATAACTGGGTTTGGGGAGTGACTTTGGGTTTTGGGCAGGGGGCTGGTTGGGCTTTTTTGTTTGGTTGGTTTTTAAGCATTGGATGGTACTTAGGCTGATTGATTCTTTTGCCTGGGCAGAAGTGTTCGCTTTCTGTGTCACTCACAATATTTTGTTTACCGGGGTTGTTTTTTTTAAATGAATGGCAACAATTGTGGCAGGCAAATATTTTAAAACTAGATGCATCTTTTTGTGTTGGAGATGATTTTTAAAATTTATTTTGCTTCTTGCATAGTAAAGAAATAGCCCATAAAATTGTATATTTTCTACTTTGTGCCCAGTATTTTTCTATTTATTTATTCTTTACCATTCAAAGGTTTTTCTTTTGTTTGAAATGTCTTATTTAGGCCTTTTAATTTACTATTTTAGAATAACTCTCTCTAAGTATATTTAGCATGCGCTTACTTCAGTGGGAAACATGCAGATTTTTGCAGCTGCCCTCCTTATGGCCTTCCCTCTGCCCCCACAGTAGGCAGTAGAATATCAGACTGGGAAAATGGAGACGTACCAAACCACATTTGCCTGCATATAGTTAAATGGAAGTGCTTTCTGGCGGTTGGCACTAAAAACCTGCGTATCACCAAGGAAGGCTGTATCTGGGCCTTGCCGTTGTCCAATGTGCGCACCGCAGGGAGATTGGGGGACCTGCCCCGGGGCTCGTCTGCCACTGGGGCTCTGCATCCCTGCCGCTATCTACTCCCACGTGCACGTGTAACACCATGAGGGAAGCATAGTTTGGCAGGTCGTGGGTAACATGGCACTGCAGAGCAGGAGAGAAGCTATTGCAGTGCTGCAGTGTATACATGCATGAAAGGCCGGTGTAAGCAGGGAGGCAAACCAGTGAGTCTTGCATATTCTAAATTAATTTTGACAAATGTACATCTTGCAGAGGGTAGCTGAAAGGAGTCTGTTGGAGATGCAGATCTCCTGTAGCATGAGCTTGTGCTGTGGTACCCTGCTTTCTAGCTACTCCTCAGTTTGACTTGGAGGCACAATTTTCCATTTACTGTTTCATGAATAATCAAAAGGCTGTTTTTCGGGGCATCTTTCCTCATTTTTGTCCAGTGCTTTAGGAGCTACACACAGGATTTGGAAGAATGTGTGCATGCAGTAACCTGAAAGGCAGCAGCTCGTCGTATACCGTCTTGGAGGAAGAGAGAGGTTTTCAAGCAGCCACCTTCTGAGCCTCCAGCCACAACGGAGCAGACCTTCATTAGCAGCTTGACCCCTCGTCACCTGTCAGCATGAAGGACGGGCATATTGTATTAGCAAACCTCTCTCCTTCTTTCTATGACGATTCTATAACACCACCTGCCATTGCATATCCCCCTATTATACCAGTTTAGGAGTTGTGCACTGAAGATTTTTGGCATATATTAGCACTTCCATGTGATTGGCAGTATACCACTGAATTCATTGCAGCTCTGCATCTATATGGGTGTAGCTCCGTAATGCAGGGCAGCGTTTCCCAGGGTTTTATCTGCATTTCGACCCGTCGCCTGCCTATATAAGTCCATTACCTCTCTGTCTGTTTCGAGCAGAGAAAGGGAAGGGTGAGGACACTGGTGAAACAAGTGTCAGAAACATTAGTTACAGTAACAAAACTATTTCCTTAGCAGTGAAAGGAGAAGGTGTAGTATGGAAAGTCGCGTTTGCTGTACCACCTGACGGCGAGTAAAACAGTGAACTGCTTGCTTTTTGCTTGGTAAATTGTTTTATTAGAATAATGTCCTTGTAGAGAGTGGTGTATGCTGGCTTCTGTGAAGCACCAAATAACCGAACTAGCTCACGGTTAAGCAACAGCAAAATAAATGGCCGTGGGATTTGAGAACGTTGAAATACTCGGTCTGACAAGTCATCCTGGTCCTAATCTTCTCTGGATTTGAGCCTGCAAAGTTTCGGCCCGGCTTCAGATGATTATACGCTGGTCTTGGTTTTGTTATGCAATGGTCCAGGCTGCGTTAACTATCAGAGGACTTGGCAGCCGGCTGCTGCCGTCACCTGGAAAGAGACGCGGTTGGTAACATACCTGAAGTCCAAACCGCGCAGGGGAAAATGCTACGAAAAATGGACCGGGAGAGCTCCTCCCCGGGCACAAAGCCGGCGCCTGAAAAAACTCAGGAGCTGGCCTAGGGAGGGAGGTTGAGGCTGATGCCTGCCCGGGGCGGGGGGGCGAGCGCGTCCCCTCAACTCCTCGGGCGCGTCTCCGCGCCTCTCCTCACGCCTCGGGGGGTCCCGCTTCCCCTTAGCCCGAGGCTCAAGCGGACGGGCGCGCTGCGGGACCCGCCGGCCGGTCCCTCCCG